TAAATCCATGGCTAATTCATTTCAATGTATGACAAAAACCACTGCAATGTTGTAATTAGCCTCCAACTAATAAAAATAAATGGAAAAAAAAAATAAAAGCAGTTTCTTTTAGATTCTAAAAGAAAAAAAAAAGTTTGCGAGCATTTACGACAAAACGGGGTCTGTAACCTCGAGTTTTATCTCTCTCCTGCTTAGCCATTAAACTCAAGAAAAACCTAAGGATGGAAGTGAGGCGGAATGAGGTTGGGGGTGGGTGACAGACCCCGGGGTGCGGCAGCGCTCAGCTCAGCGCGACTCACTTATTGGCTAGCAGGGTCCCAGCCCTTGACCAATCGCTGGGCGCTGGGTCGTCATAGCGACGAGGAAGCTAACACGGGCGGGCGCTGTGCCCGAAGCTTGTTGGTGGGAGAGCTGGGGGCGATGGCGCAGAACCTGTACGGTCCACGAGTCCGGATTGGCAACTGGAACGAGGACGTCTACCTGGAGGAGGTACGAAGGGTGCGGCCCGGCACAGCCCACCCATGGCCTGGGGACTCCCACACCTGGCCCAAGTTCCGGCCCCTTCTTTGAGCGTCCCAAGCCTCCTTTCTCACCCAGCTCACATCCAATGTCCCTAAAACCCCATCTCCCTATGAACTCCCTGAGAATCTCACAGGCTGTCCCACAAGTTCCCGCCCTTCTACTCTCTCTCTTTTTAGCTTTTAACATTTATTTACTTTTATTGGAGTCTAACTTCCATGTGTAAAGCAGAAAGCTAGTGGGAAGCTTCTGTATAGCACAGGGAGCTCAGCTGGGTGCTCTGTGATGACCTAGAGGGGTGGGATGGGAGTGGGGAGGGCGGGGGGAGGTCCAAGAGGGAGGGTACATATAGGTACTTAGAGCTGAGTCATTGTACAGCAGAAACTAACACAACACTGCAAAGCAATTGTGATGGTGATGGTGGCCAGTCACTGTGATGTAGACTCTGCAGCCTCCTGCTACAGTCTGTGAGGTCCACGTACAGTTTCTCCCGTACTACAAAGTGAATCAGCTATATGTATATATATGTATATGCCCCCTCCCTCTTGGACTTCCCTCCCATCTCCCCATTCCGCCCCCACCTCCCCCACCCAGGTCATCACAGAGCACCCAGCTGAGCTCCCTGTGCAGCACAGCGACCTCCCACTAGCTCTCTATTTTACACGGGATAGTGTATATACGTCAAAGCTACTTTCTCGATTCATCCCACCCTTCCCTTCCACACCCCCACTGTGTTCACAAGTCCACTTTCTATGTCTACATCTCTATTCCTGCCCTGCAAATAGGTTTATCGGTATCAGTACCGTTTTCCTAGATTCCATATGTATATGTTAATATATGATGTTTTTCTTCCTCTGACTTACTTCACTCTGTATGACAGACTCTAGGTTCACTGCATCTCTAGGCCTCCCAAACTCTCAACATCCTGTGTCTCTCCCTTAGGCCAGAGCCCCACTAATTTCCCTCTGTTCCTTAGAGACCTACAGACTGGAAGCTTCAGTCCAGGTGAGAAGGCAGACCCTGAGCAAAATTACTGCTCCCATCCCCATCACACATCACCTCCTAAGGCTCCTAGTAGCATCCCTTCTACTGATCTTATACTCATTGCCCTGAATTTCTCCTACGATCTTAACTAGACCCTGGGCCATCAGGGAGGACTTCTAGTGTTCATCATCATAGAACTAGCAGAGACCTCAGAAGGGGGAGCATATGGCCTTCAAATGTTACTCATGTTTGTCACTGGTTGAAGTAATTACAGGTGATTATTCTTTTTCATGTCTTTCTTGTTTTTCTAAACATTCCAAATGAAATAAAAAGTAATGCTAAAATATAATGCTGAAAAGTCTACCACTCCTGTTATCCTCACATTTCTTTTTTCACTCTAAAATTTTGCTTTTTCAACTTGATGTTCTTGTGACCTAAAAGCTCTAAGTGGGTGTATTATTCAGGACTCTTGTTGACTGTTTGGATTTCATTCATTTTTCTCTTTTACCAGGAGATCATGAAAGACTTCTTAGCAAAGAGGGATAAGGGACAACTTCTCATACAGAGAAACAGAAGACTAAAAGAGAATCTTTTGAGACCGGTAATTGTAAATTCAAACAATAGTTTCAAAACTTTATCAAATTAAGTGTGAGAATATGTTAAGCAAGCAAATATTCCATAAGTGAGTGGTCATTTGGAAAATTCCCATTTTTCTCTCTAAATAATCACAATATTTAAAATCCCCTAAGATTTTAGAAGAGCTACCATGGTGGCTCAGTGGTAAAGAATTCACCTGCCAATGCAGGAGACCTGGGTTTGATCCCTTGGTCAGAAAGATCTGGAGAAGGAAATGGCAACTCACTTCAGTATTCTTGCTTGAGAAATCCCATGAACAGAGGAGCCTGGAGGGCTACAGTTCATGCGGTGGCAAAAGAGTCAGATATGACTGAGCGACTAAACAACAAAAGCAAGATTCTAGAAACGTGAGAAGTTTACTACTAATTACGTTTATCTATATTTTCCAAATTAGTCATGTCAGACTCTTGTGACCCCATGGACTGTGGCCTGCCAGGCTCCTCTGTCCATAGGATTTTCCAAGTAAGAATACTGGAATGGGTTGTCATTTCCTTCTCCAGGGGGTCTTTTCAACCCAGGGATCTAACCTGGGTCTCCTGCATTGCAGGCAGACTCTTTACCAACTGTGCTACCAGGGAAGCCTCTCCAAATTAAGAAATGAATAGGTTGATGCATTCATAAGTAAAATGCCCTTTTGTTGGTGCTCAAGATATTTTCAAGGAATGTAATGGAATAGTAACGGAATCAATCTATGTGATTTCTCATGAGCTTTATTTTACTTCATTTGGGATTATCAGGGGCTTCAATTTGGCAAATTGGGAGCAGATTGGAAAATAAAATGGGGTACATCTGCGGTGGCAGAAGAAATTGCATGATTTATTTGAAAAATTCCTATTTCAATTGCAGATGCAGCTTTCCGTATCTGAAGACGGATACATTCACTATGGTGACAAAGTGATGCTTGTGAGTCCCGACCATCCTGAGACAGAGGCTGATCTGTTTCTGCGTGGGGACCTCAGCCTGTGTATGACTCCAGATGAGATTAAAGCCCATCTGAGCAATGAATTAGAGGTGCCCTGTGGCCTAAGCGCAGCTCAAATCAAGATCCCAGTTGGCAGAAACACTTTTACTATTTTGTGGTAAAGAAACTTGAATTGTATAATAGGCTCCTTTGCATCAGAAATATCTTTTCACTTGCAGCTTAAGGATCCTCTGGAATGAGAGCACTGCTGATTGGAGTCAGAGGTTATATGAACATTCTCTGTGATTCTCATCCTGTTTTCTTATCTTGAGAATGATTGTCAAGGGATCTTTACATTTCCTTTACCATAAACATCAGGATAATGGGTAATTTGAGTTAAGTTCCAGATGCTTCATTTGAAAGTATTGACCCAGGGAATAAAATTCAGATTCTGCCTGAGAAGCCAAGTGGGGTTTTCCTAATATCATTTCCTAATGCTTTTGAGCTCACCCAAGTGCTTTCATTATTTTTAATGTTGCTATGCTATTTCTGCATCAGAAATATATAGTTAAATGTAAGATAGTACACAGATATTTGCTCTTTTAAAATTAATTATCCACTTAAAATGTGCTTAAATTTTTGTAGATGAGCATTTAAGTCCTTGGAGAATAGATACATAATAACAATCAAAAGTTATTGCTTTCAGTTTGTTACTAATGATAGCAAGTTTATATGATAGGGATATAGTCAGTCCTTTAAGTCTTTAGATTTTTTTTTTTGAATGCAAACTATTTATGTTAAAACAACTAAAAATTGATCACAATTTCTGTTTCTTGGAAGATTAAGAGGGAAGAGTATACCAAATGTCTGCAAATTTGTTACCTTGCTTCTCTCTAAAGATATCAGTGTTTGGAAATGTCTTGTATAGATGAGGGAGTATAATCAGTAATATCATAATAATTTTAAATGGCATCAGGTGGTAACTAGATTTATCATGGTGATCATCTCATGATGTATATAAATGTTGAATTATATTGTATATACTTAAAACTAAGTGCAACATTATATATCAATTGTACTTCAGTTAAAAAAAGATGTCATTGAACTTGGGCCAATTCATTAGTGTAGGACAGTATGTGAAGAGTCGGACACGACTGAACTACTTCACTCTCACTTTTCACTTTCCTGCATTGGAGAAGGAAATGGCAACCCACTCCAGTGTTCTTGCCTGGAGAATCCCAGGGATGGGGGAGCCTGGTGGGCTGCCGTCTATGGGGTCACACAGAGTCGGACACGACTGAAGTGACTTAGCAGCAGCAGCAGCAGCAGGACAGTATGATGTGCTCAGTCCATCCTAGGCTCACAGAGTGGGAACATTCTGTGTCCTGACTGTGTTGGAAGGTGGTGAATAAGGTGCCAGCAAGATTTGAAGGTCAAAAGAAAAGACCTTTTAGTTAGTGACTTATTTCAGTTACTGTACACGAATAGGCATCATCTCAGTCCTGTTCAACTCTTTGGGACCCCATAGGCTGTAGCCTGCCAGGCTTCTTGGTCCATGGAATTTCCCAGGCAAGAATACCGGAGGAGGTTGCTATTTTCCTATTCCAGGGACTCTTCCATGACCTAGGGATTGAACCCGAGTCTCTTGCATCTCCTGCACTGGCAGGCAGATTCTTTACCACTAGCACCACCTGGTTTGGTCTCTGGGTTGGAAAGATCCCCTGGAAAAGGAAATGACAACCCACTCAGTATTCTGTATGCCTGGAAAATCCCGTAGATAGCACAGCCTGGTCTCTGCTGTCTATGGGATCTCACAACTTAGCGACTGAATGACAACATGGTATATAGAGTCCATGGGGCTTTAAGAGTTGGACATGACTTAGCGACTAAACCACCAAGAAAATTATAAACAAAACTGCACACACACAAAAATAGAGCAGTAGAATGATCCTAATACAGAAATTGATATTATATTCATTCTCCACCGGCAGTGCAGCTGGAGAGGTCATCGGTCAAGTCCTTAGATACGGGCAGAACTTCCGCATCGGGATAACAGGAGGATTTGACGACAGAATGGTGAGTCATCATGTTGCATGTCTACTGGGACCAGTCACTTTTGTTTCTGGCTACTGGCTACTTACTGAAGTGGACAGAGAACTCTACAGGTATGGGCTCCATCTCCATCTCTGGTCTCAGAGTGCAGCTTTTCCAAGGCAGTTTTGGGCCAGTTTTTTGCTTCCAACCTCATGGATTACAAAAATACATCCTTAAAAGCTAAAGAGTAAGGGGGAAAAAAACCTTTTTTGCAATGCATCTGGTAAAAAGTAAAAACTCATACCACCTCCACTTATAAGTTAAATGATCAGGTTATATAATAATAATAATCTGACAGCTTTTTTTTTTAGTGAAAAAAGGTTTATTCAGGGAGATACATACTCCATAGACAGAATGTAGGCCATCTCAGAAGGTGAGAGGCCCTGACAGCTGTTTAATGTCACCCATGCTAACATATCTACATAAATCAGGAAGCACAAGTCTTTGATCTTAACCTCCACCTTGGAGATTCAGACAAATACGAATTCCAGCTGAGATGCATACCTATGGGATGGGACTTTGGGTAAGTTATTTAACGTTTTTGCATCTTGTCTATAAAAATGGAGGTTATTATACCATGTTGTTGTTGTTGTTTAGTCACTAAGTCATGTCCGACTCTTTGTGACCTTATGAACTGCAGCACACACTGCTTCCCTGTCTTTCACTATCTCCGGGAGTTTGCTCAAATTAATTTCCATTGAGTCAGTGATGCCATCCAACCATCTCATCCTCTGTCGCTCCCTTCTCCTCCTGCCTTCAATCTTTCCCAGCATCAAAGCCTTTTCCAGTTATACCTTACTACATGTGTAGTGCTTCACATATGTTAACTCATTTATTCCTCCCAACAAGTCTTTAAAAATAGGGACTATTTTACCACAGTTTTACTGATGGGAAAACTGAGGCACAGCAAATTAATTGATTTTGTTCCAAGTCACATGTCTACTAAATGGCAGAGCTGGTGTTAATGTAACATTTTTTCATTGACTCAAAGATTCCTTTATTGTTTGATGTGGCATCATCATCATCATTATTATTTTTGTACTAAGAAATGTTTTTATACTAAATTATTTTGTACTAAGAAATTAATGCTGGCAGTTACACTCTGAAACACCATAGATGGTAAGCTGCAGCCTGATTTTATTTTAACTTTTTGTTTCATATTAGAGTGTAGTTGATTAACAATGCTGTGATAGCATCAGGTGATGGTCAGAGGGACTCAGACACACATAAATATGTATCCTCTCTCCCCTAAACTCCCCTCTCATCCAGGTTGCCACATAACATTGAGTGGAGCTCTCTGTGCTATATAGTAGGGGCTTATTGGTTACCCATTTTAAATATGGCAGCGTGTGCATGTCCATCCCAAACTCTCTTAACTATCCCTTTCCCCGATCCTTTCCCCCACCTCACCTCCCCCAGCAACTGTAAGTTCATTGTCTAAGTCTGTGAGTCTGTTTTGTAAATAAGTTCATTTGTACCATTTCTTTTTAGATTCTGCCGATGAGTGATATCATATGATATTTCTCCTTCTCTGTCTGACTTTACTCAATATGACAATATCTAAGTCTACCCATAATGCACAGCTGAATTTTTTTGTATTAGTTTACTTTTAATAATAAAATTCATTGATATAATTAAATTCAATCTAATCATAATCAATCCTGACCATGCATAAAATTCTTTTCTCAAGCTTCCTTTTTCATAAACTTCCCTGTGTGCAGCCTGATTTTAAATGTGAAAATTAGAGGAAATATCTCATCAGAGAAAGGACAGTAAATCATCACTGTTTTATTGAGAGAGGAAGCCTACTAACATTTTGGCTTACTTTATAAAGGGAAAAATCTGAAAATATAGGGAAGATCACAAGCACTACAACATTTAGATATTATTTTCTTCTTTCCTTTCCCCTTTCTCTTTCTTTTCCTGCTACTTCTTTTCCAACCTCCCCCTTCCATCTCGTCTCTCTTTCTCTTTCCTGTAAATCATCTATTCTTTTTGCCTGTTCATTGCCTTGGGCTTTAATATCTGCTCTTTCACAGATGATAAGAATGTGTCACGTGTGTTGCTAGTATTTCATCTCTTTTGTTGCTTGGCTTTTAAATTGTAGCTGTTCTAATCTATGTTTGAGTCAAACCTATCAGTGCTTTTCTTTGTAATTCCTTCCATGGCTCAGAGCCTTTGAAGTCTGTTCCAAAGATGTGATAAAAAGAGTAACTTGTATTAATTTTTAGATGTCTGAACTTAAAGTATTGCTTAAGTTTATTGTTTCATCCACTTGGGATTTATTTTGATCAAGGGCTTAATGTGAACATCTAAATTTCCCCCAAATGACTTGTTGGTTGTAGCTGTGTTATTTCTTGAGTAATTATCCCTTTCTTCACTGAAGCGTGCTGCATACATTATTACATATGACTGTTTCTGAGCTTCCTATTTGGGACTGTTGAACTGAAGTTGTCTATTTTTTTAATTTCCCAACTGTGGCTTTATAATACAACCTTGAGGACTTGTAGGGCTAATTCCTTCTCATGATACTTGTTTGAATTATGTTAGGAATTAACCTTTCAGTTAAATGTAGTAACAATTTTTTAAAGTCCCTNGGGGGGGGGGGGGGGGGGAATCACTTGGTGTTTTGACTGACATTGTAAAATTAAGTGCATTCACCTATTTAGTAGCTTTATAGTATTTGTCTTCTGAGATGTCTGTTTCTTCAAATATTCTTTTCTTTCTTTGTTTCTTTGTCTTTTTTTTGTTGGCCACATTGTGAGGCATGTGGGATCTTCCCCAAACTGGAATCAAACCTGCACCCCCTGCAGTGTGAGCAAAGACTCTTAACCACTGGACCACCAGGGAAGTCCCTATCCAATTATTCCTTTCTACATCTCAGTAAAGTTTTGTGCTCTCCTTCCCATAGATCTGACACTGATCTCATCAAGGTTATTATTTGATATCTTCTATTTTGGAAGCTATTAAGGCAGGTCCTTTTGACAGTTGCAGTAAAAAATAGAAGAAAAACATTGATTTTTTTTCTATTCATCTTTGATGAAATCACTTACTCATTTCTAGTTGCTTCTTTTGTGACTTCTAGGTATACAGTCACCTCATGTTCAAATTATGGCAATTTTATCTCATCCAAAGTTCTCATATCTCTTATTTCTATTTCTCATCTTTTAATTAGCAAGCCCTTTCAGGGTATTTATGAAAAATCTGGTGATGGTGGCCATCTAGATTTGTTCCTGATTGTATTAACATTTTTCTTTATATGAAGAAAGCAATGTTTGTGACTTGAGATGTATATTATTTTCCATTAGCTCAGAATGGCATGGCCATCTTCCCCATCAGCCAGGCTGAAGCCACAGTACATCTTGGACCTATCTTTCTTTCCCACCTACATACAGCGCCAGTTGTTAGGTCCTGTGGCTCTTCCTTCATAATGCAGTCTGGTCCATCTTTGCATTGCCAATGCCACTTCCCCATACCTTGATCCCTTCAGTCTATCCTGACTTTATTCCATATTGACAGGATGCTGTCAGGTTGATCCTTTAAAAGGTCAGCTCTTCTCACCTCCCATCTCCAATGAAAAGTCCGTAGTGCTCTGCTCCCTCTTCTCACCTCCCAGCTGCCCTCTGCATTAAGTGCTGCTGTTGACTGGCATTTAAGGCCCTCTGTAATATGTCCCGGGGGCTTCACTGGTGGCTCAGTGGTAAAGAATCTGCCTGCCAGTGTAGGGGGACAAGGGTTCCATCCCTGGGTTGGGAAGATCCCCTGGAGAAGGAAATGGCCACCCTCTCCAGTATTCTTGTCTGGGAAATCCCATGGACAGAGAAACCTGGATTGCTGCAGCCTATGGGGTCATAGAAGAGTCAAACACAACTAAGCAAGTGAACAACAATATATCCCCTCCATCCTGGCCTATGCTCATCCCCTCCGGCTCCCTGGCAAAACATCACCTTCTATTTGGAGTCTTTCTGAGCCCCTGGGAGAGCAAGTGTTCCCACCTGTCCCCTGCTGTAGCTCTTGGCATCCCTGCTGGATACCATATCTTACAGATGCTCCCATTTCAATCCTCTCTCCTGTTAGTCGGGAAACTTCTAGAGGGCAGTAACTCATTTCCACCTTCCCCAGAGTGCTTCATGCCACAGCTTTGCATAGAAAATATGTTTAATGAACAGTGATCAAAATATGCAGAAACAACTGCTAGGGGCTGGGTGGAAGGTATATTGGTAAACAGCTGACCAGGAACTAACGTTATGGACTTTTCAGCAAAATGGGGTGCTGCAAAGTTAAAAAGTCAGCCAGAGAGCTGACAGAAGTCCTAAGTGTGGAGATCAATTCCAGAGGGTCTGAGTCCCCCTTGGAGGCTTACATATGAGTATCAGCTGTGCTGGTGCTGGTTTTAAGAGCATTCACTTCACGCAGTGCATTTCATGTAACATTATTCATAATGAATAAAATACTGATCCAAACCCAATGCCCTGAACAAGAGGAGGAGTGCAGAAGAAAGAGATGGAGGCTGGGTTTGGTATTCAAAGAAAGGGAAGGCAGTTGGAGGTGATGCGAGGGTGAGTGGTCTCAGCCTCTTGAGACGGCCTTTTCAAGATAAAGTTGAGTGTCCTCATATGATCGGTAAGAGCAGGGCTTTGGGAAACTGCTTTTGAACACACTGGCCTTCCCTGGTGGCTCAGATGGTAACGAAACTGCCTGCCAGATTAAGAGACCCAGGTTCAATCCCTGGGTTGGGAAGATCCCTGGAGAAGGGAATGGCAACCTTTTTGCCTGGAGAATCCCATGGGCAGAGGAGCCTGACAGGCTACAGTCCATGGAGTAGCACAGAGTCGGACATGACTGAGTGACTAACACTTTCATTTTTTGAACACACTGGCCATCCAGCTAGTGAACTGCTGCTCGCATAGCTGTGATAGAAAACATCTGCTTGCTGTCCTTTTCAGTTATATTTATCAAGTGACCACAGGACCCTTCTGAAGTCATCCAAGAGGTCCTGGCTCCAGGAGGTGTCCCTGACGCATGAGGATTCCTACCTGAACTGCTGGCAGCCTGCCTTCCCCGATCCCCAGCTTCGCCTGGAGTACGAGGGCTCCCCCGTCCCGGTGAGCACAGCTGTGTGTGCCGATGCTGTGAAGTGGCTGCAAAGCGTTCCTGTGTGTAAGGTGGAGGCTTGTCAGGGCTCTGGTGGCTCCTGTGCCTCATGTACTTTCACTCTGTCTCTTTTTCATTTCTTTAAAAAAATATATTATTTATTTGTCTTTATTAAAAAAACTTTTTTTTTGCTGCACTGCGTGGCAGTGGGATCTTATGAATAGTTCCCTGACCAGAGATTGAACCTGCGCCCCCTTCAGTGGAAGCACAGTCTATTTTTTTTTTTAATTTAAATTAGAGGACAATTACTTTACAGTGTTGTGCTGGTTTCTGCCATACATCAGCATGAATTAGCCATAGGTATACATACGTCCCCTCCCTCTTAAACCTCCCTCCCACCCCCAACCCCATCCCACCCCTCTAGGTTGTCATAGAGCACGGGGTTTGAGCTCCCTGCATCACACAGCCACTTTCCATTGGCTATCTATTTTACATATGGTAATGTATATGTTTCAATACTACTCTCTCACATCAGCCCACCCTCTCCTTCCCCCACTGTGTCCACAAGTCTGTTCTCTTGGTCTGTGTGTCCTTTGCTGCCCTACAAGCAGGATCATCAGTATCATCTTTCTAGATTCCATATATGTGTGTTGATATCGGATATTTGTCTTTCTCCTTCTGACTTACTTCACTCTGTATAACAGGCTCTAGGTTCATCCACCTCATTAGAGCTGACTCAAATGGGAAGCACAGAGTTTTAGCCACTGGACCACCAGGGCAGTCCCTTGCTTTCATTCCTAACTCAAGTTTGGGGAGTAATGTTTTCCCCGGTGGCAGCATCCTGCCTCAGTGCTTCTCCATGCTGACCGCACATAGAGTCACCCACACAACTTCATAAAAATGCAGAGGCCCAGGCCCTGCCCCTGAGATGAGGCTGAGAACCACTCCCCTGACACTGTAAAGATGCTACTGCTGCTTTCTTTCAGGCCTCTGTCAAGTCCTCATTTTTACTAAGTCAGATAGATTTATCCATTTTATTCTTAATGGATTATGCATTTGGTGTTGTAGCTGAAAAATCTTTTTTTTTTTTTTTCTTGCCTGCATGGCTTGTAGGATCTTAGTTCCCTGAACAGGGATTGGACTTGGGTCATGGCAGTGAAAGCCTGGAATCCTAACCACTAGGCCACCAGGGAGCTTCCTAAGTCCTCACTTCTAAAGAGCCTAGGTAATCTAGAGGAATGAAGGACAGGGCAGTGCAGCTGCACAGGTGAGCACAAGGCTGGCTGTTTTCTCAGGAGTCTGGGCCCTGCAGATGGCAGCATAGTTCTGAATGGGGAGGCAGGTGCAGAGGTGCAGAGCTGTTTTGAGTACCAGAGGCTGTGCTATTTGCTCATGCAGCCTTAGGCAGATGAAGACCGAGGGGTCATTAGAGGTTATTGGGAAACTACAGACTTATAGCCAGGAAGGACTTAAAGAGCTGGCCATCCAGGGATTTCCAGTTACCAGCCACTCTGGATCTACCCAATGCAGTGGGCTTCTCTCTGAAGCTCCATAGCTGGACCCAGGTTTGCAAGGGTCTTTTTTCTTTCTTTTTTAAAAATATTTATTTCCCTGCATCAGATCTTAGCTGTGAAATGTGGGATCTAGTTCCCTGACCAGGGATCAAACTGGAGCCCCCTGGACTGAGAGTGCAGAGTCTTAGCCAGTGGACCACCAGGGAAGTCCCTGCAAGGGTCTTTCTCTCAGCATGGGGAATGTACATGTGGTCCACAATGATTCATGCTTGACAGATTTCTGCTGGCCTTTGCCAAGCTTCGTTCTCCTTGAAATTGCCTCTCATCACCACAGTTTAAACTGTCAGTATCTCAGCTTCAGTATCTATAAAATGAGGACATATGATGATTTTCAACTTATAAGGTTTTATGAGGATTAAACGGTTAGTACATTTACCATGCGTATTAGAAAAGTACAAAAAAAGAAACTTCCCTGGTCGACAAACTAAGATCCCACATGTTGCGTAGCATGGACAAATTTTTTTTAAAGGTGCAAGAAAAAAAGCGTGGGTATATATATATTATATTGAACTGATTCACTTTGCTTGCACCTGAAACTAGTACAATATTGTATGTAAGTCAACTATGTTGTTGTCCAGTCTCTAAGTCATGTCTGACTCTTTGCCAGCCCATGGATTGCAGCATGCCAGGCTTTCTTGTCCTTCACTACCTCCTGGAGTTTATACTCCAATAAAAATTAAAAAAAAGAAAAGTGCCTGGCTCAGAGGGCACTCCCGAGTGTTCATTGTTGTTAATTTAATGGTGGTGGTGGTTCTGTTGCTGTTGTTAGGTTAGACAGGTTGTCAGGCACCAGGAGCTTGTTTCTCCATTGCTAGCTCAAGCCACCGCCCGAGGCAGGTCTTCAAGCCTTACTCAGACACCTCTGCAAAATGGAACACTTCATACCTGTCCAACTGCCATCCACATGTCAGTGCCCTTCAGTCAGGAGCACCTAGGGTTGAATGAGTCAGCTTTATTTCTTGTCTCAGTGATGGAGAACACGCATCACAGGAAATGGTGGGGTGTCTCAGTAAATGACTGTCAGGAAGGACAAGCTACAGAACTGGGGCTGTGGTGGGAGAGTTTAGGGAGGGTCTCAGGAAGTGGGGTTGGGTGCCGTCAGGAAGCAGGTGTGTCTCAGCACATCTTATCTATAGAGGGCAGGCTAGCACCCGGCCAAAGCTGTCCTGAGTAAGGAAGCTGCAGTCATCCCTGTTCTCTGGGAGAGGAGGACATTTGGTATTTTGTGGTTTGGACAATGCTCATGGTTTTGCTGTGTTCAGACACAGTTACACAGTGGTCTTCTTTCTGTCTTGACCCATTGTGGTCACAGCATGGCCTTGTCTGATGTGGGCATTGTGTGAAATTGATTATATTCCACAAGGGAACATTAAGGCATAGCTGGGGGTGCCAGCCCAGCTCCTGGGTGTCAGAGCTGCTTTCTCTGACACTGCCTTTAGCTTACATGAGTCAGGATTTTGAAATAATATGTCTTTTATTTTCTGATTATAAACAATGAATGTTCACTTATGGGAAGTCAGAAAAGGACAAAAAATGATAAGAAAATTACCTTCCAGAGAGAGCCACTGTTATCTTTTCTTTTTCCATGTCTATGTTTTCTAAAAATGTAATTTTAATGTTTTTAAAAAATTAGGACATCAGGAATATTCTTATTTTTTCCACTTAAAAACACCACTGACCCTATTTCCAATTGTCAAGGATCATCTCCAAATTGACTTTAAATGATTATATAATGTTCCATCATATATGTATTTATAGTAATGTATTTACTAATCTATAAAGGTTTGACTTCTAGGTTATTCCATCTCTCTCACTCGCTCACTCTATATCTATATCTATCTTGGGGGAGTGTGTAATTTACTCAGTTCTGTCTTGCTGTAGCAAAAATTTGAAGCGATGGACAGACCAGTGTTACAGCTCCGTGTTACAGCTCAGTTTTATTTAGAAAGCAAAGGAAAATACATCCTTGAGGCCTGAGGGCGGGTTGACCAAAAGACTCAAAGAGAAGTGAAATCCGGTGATTGGTGATCGCGTTTGACTCCTCTTTTTATGTTTCTTTCTCCTCCCCCGGGCCTGCCCTATGTAAATTGAGCTAGCCAGGAGGGCTGTTTGTTTTACCTGAGGTTCTCACTCCAGTCCTCGGACCTTCTTTTGTTCTATTTTTGTGGGCTTTTCCCTTGTTTGTCTTTCAACTACCGCCATTCTGGTCTCTTTTTTCCTATTCTAACTACCTAACATTGCCCCCTCAAGAGATGGGAGGCCCAATTCTTTGGGAATAGGGGCATCAAGGTCTCTCTGGCTACTTCCTGCTGAATTGGGATGGCAAGGGGCATTGGGCCTCCCCCTCTTGCTAGTCTCAAGCCTCAGAGTCCTTATAGCGGTGTCCATCTAAGGGTGAGTGATATTTTCCATGGTCAGCTGTAGTTTTATATATCCTTGTTGAACTGGCACTGCATATTATAGCTTGTTGACCTGGGCAGAGACAAAATGGGTTAGACAATTAATAATACATGGAGCAATCATAAATAGCATCAATATGGTGATGACAGGGATTAGTAGGGGCATTAGCCAACTCCAAATTCCCCATCGCCAGGAGAAGGAACCCCCAAAGAGAAATTGTAGCCACCCTAACTCTCTAGCTCATTCTTTGAGATCCTGTAGG